GGTACCATTTGTTCTGCTCAACTATTATTGCCACTTAAAAAGATTATTAGCTACATGCTGAAATCGGCGCCCTCGCAATGAAGATTTGTCTTCCAAACCACGTACAAGACCTCTATCAACGCTACACATCTGCAGCCAACATACCAAGACTAGGAGTTGATGACAACTATTATTTTCAAGCATTACAGCTGAATATTTCACCTGCAATACCTTGGGAGAGGCGTTTTGGTTATTATTTCAGTATAATTACTATGGCTATTTCTAATCCAGTTATAGATACCTCCCTGGTGGGGATGGGGGTTTTTGGGCAAATGCATGGTCACCGTGACACTGGAGACGATGCTGCAGGTTATACCTGCATGATGTCCAACACCAATGTCCCAGAAGGTGGTGGAACTGAAATGGGGAGATTCTTCGTTCTGAACAATCTCATTTATGTGAAGATGGTTCGCTTTAGCTTGCCCATATTCAATGGGCTCTTCTTGCATGGGGGCTCACCAATCATTCTTGGACGTGGCATTGAGTTGAAAAAAAACTTGTATCGGATCAACGCCGTTCTATATTCACCACGTTTCATGCTTTCTGGAGCTGGTCAATACTCTATCGGGTTCGCCAGTATGTTTGGACAACTCTTCAAATTGTCAACAGAGGCGACATCATTGCTGTGAGTAACAAACATTAACTTGTGGGTGTGGGCCAGTGCTTTGCATGGCATGTATGAGTCCTTTCTGTGGACTCTAAATTTAATATTAGGAAATTGGTCATGTAATCACTTTATGATTTTCTGAGTTTTGTTCTATATTTGCAAATAGACCCTGAGCTCTGAGCCTAGCCATCAATATCATAGCAACAATGTGTGGTATTCTTTTTTTTTTTTTTTTTTCATTTTATAGCAAATTTTCCCAATTTTATAACTATTTTTCTGTTTATGGTAAAATATTCCCACAGTCCTGTTTGCATATATCTCAGGAAAGAGGATGGTTAGTTATATTTTGTGACCTATAATAGCATGCTCCATATATTTGTGATGAATTTCCTTTTTTGGGTTAAAATTCCCACAGTATCAGAAACACAGCCTCTCACTTAGCTCCATAAACAACAATTGTAGCCCCTTTCCTTACCTTTATAGATATATATAAATAATGTCATGCAGACCATTCCTCATTGAGAAAAACACAAAATACTGAAAAAATTGGACACTTTTTGGAAATTGTCATGCATTTTTGACCAATATCTCAAGAGCAAGAAAGCTGGTCTCAAAATATAGTCACATTGCATGATATGACAATATTTTTACATGGTTGTCTTGATTTCCATATTTGGATATGGACCCTGAATACTGGACACAGCCCCTTCAACACCATGGCAACAGAGAAGATCACTCTTAATTTTGGGGTATTTTTTTCAGATTTTCTGGCAACTTTTAGGTGGTTTCTATATTTAGATATTGACCCTGAACCCTGAACAAAGCCTCCCCACCTTACTAAGCAATATTCTGATTTTTACATATTTTTTGCTGATTTCTTTTACGATTTTTCCTGATTTTATGGCTGCTTTTCTGTTTAAGGGAAAAGGTTCCCGCGGTGATGAAAGGTAAATGAATGAATGAATCAATGAAAAATTTGCCTAAGTCCTCAGTTGATAAAGAATGAGTCTTACTCGTAAACTCGTAAGGACTCATAATTTTGTGACCACATTGAGAAATATAACAGCATGCTCTATAAAACTGTCCCTAATTTCCTTTTCAGGTCAATTTTCCCA